TGTATTCAAGTCTTTTACTGCAAGTCTCAAGTCACGTCAAGTCTCAAGTCCTTGCAACATATTTTCAAGTCAAGTCTCAAGTTAAGTTTCAAATTTGGGAGTCAACATTGGCTTGGTGGTGGTGGAGTGGGGTGGATTTCAATAACAAGAAAATGAAGATGTGCACAATGTTAGGCAAAAAAAATATTGGAGAGAAAAGCAAACATGTTAGGCAATGGTGTTGAGGTGCAAAGAGCCTTCTAATACTTTTCAAAAGCTTTAGAAGGCTCTTCCAATGTGCAGCAGGGACAAGATGCTAAGTAGACCTCCACCCACACCTCAAGCCCATTGCCTAATGTGTTTGATGTTTCTGAATGAAGTTAGGCCAGCAAGTTGGTCACTAAAAATATACAAGTCTTGAAATGAGTCAGGACATCATTTATTCCAGAGCCGAGTCCAAGTTGAGTCATTGAAGCAACTTGAGTCTGACTTGATTCTGATCAACTCAAGCCTACATCATTGGTAGCAGATGCTATAATTTTCTAGCTTTTGAGCCTCAGGATTCACATGTAGTCCAGATATGCTTTTCATAATGCACCTGTTCCTTTTCCTCTTGTCCCATCTTGGCCTCCTCCTGGTTCGTCCCTCCTCCTCCCCCTTCTTCTTTCCCTCCTACTCCTCTACCACTACCACCACCATACATGAAACCTGGATTGAAAAATGTATGTGCATCACATAGCTGTACCCTCATAGTGAGAAATACCTACCTTGTAACCAGCACAGCACCCATCCTCCACAACTTGGCCATTTTTGTGTTGTTGGAAAATAGATGAATAAGTGGGGATGAATCCTGTAATTTTACTGTAGCTGGACATGCATTTGCAGTTACTTCAAGGGGCCCTTGCAAGCTCTCTATAGATGATATCCTTGTAGCACATCCAGCCCCAAGAAAATAGCTAGATGCATTGCCCATCTTCAATAACACAGAATTAGCCATGCTGGTGGTACTATGCTGCTTACAAGGTAAGTTTTTGGAGGGGGGTTGGATCATTGCATAAGTCAGAATAAAAGTTGAATTTATGCTATCATAAGGATGCCAGTCTACACATCTATAATGTGGTAATTTAGCTGATGTCAAGAGCCAGCATGGTATAATGGTTTGAGTGTTGGACGATAACTCTGGTGACCAAGATTAAAAACCCCCTCAGCCATGGAAAGTTTTAATTATGGGTGACCTGGGCAAGTCACACTCTCTTAGCCTCGGAAGAAGGCAAAGGCAAACTCCTTCTGAACAAATCTTGTCCAGAAAACGCCATGATAGGGTGATAGGGTGACCATCCATCTGAAATGACTTGAAGACACATAATAGTAATAATAATAATAATAATAATAATAATAATAATAATAATAATAATAACTGATGTCACCCGTCTTAGGTCAGGTTATGACCCACTCATTGTTCCTATTCCACATTCAACAAATCTCCAATAACATATACACAGTCACACATGGTCTCAGGGTGCATTAGAATTAGATTTACTTAAGTGCTACACAGCTTACACTTGAATATTTTGATAAATGATGCCGGTGTGCAGAACTGCAACAATTCTTATAAATAGTGGCTGTTATTTGAAAAGATCACTTGAAATACTGCAAATGTCAACACATCAGTTCTTTCATCTTTTAATAAAAAATTACCCTTCAAGCATCAGCTCTAATGTATTTTTGTAAGGATTGCTCTTTTGGATGCTAAATAATTAAAACTTCATCTTACGTTTCAGCAGAGGGCACTCAGTACAAATTCTGCAACAAAAGTATATGATGAAAGAAAGGATTGGTATTGTACTATATTATCCTATACAAGAAGCAGACAAGCATGGTAGGTGAGGGATCACTTCTTTGCCCATGGGACCCTCCAGTGGCAGCACAGAGTGCCAGAAATACTCATCCCTATCAAAAATGCTAAAATTAAAATCAAAAGTAGGCAGAACTCTGTTTTGGTTTTGAAAATGGCTATTTTTAAAATGTTAAACAGTGGAATTATTTAAAAAGTGAATTGCTGCTGCTGGATGCTTCCAGGGTAGGGCAATTCAAACC